TCTAATTATTAATTAAAATATTATATTTGATACTGTAATTTATATGTTCTCTTGTACAACACTTGATATAGAAGAAGTAACATCTAATTGCAAGTAACGAAATTTCGTAAATAGTCAGTCGAAAATTATAATGACTGTATATGATTTTTATAAATATGTTGGTCAGGAAATATGGGTCATGTTACGCATTTGGCCTGATTATATCTGTCTGTTTTTTGCAATTTCGCTTTTTATCGAAAGACAAAGTGTTGTGAAAGTTATTACATCGACTACATAACTACCTCGACTGGCCGCTCGGAGTTTCGCTGGGCGCGGAATTCCTATATGAAATGCAGATACTTATTTCATATTTACAATTATGATGTAGTATTCTTTAACGAATTCTTACAAAAAATTACATTTTTTACTAATTTTAATTTACTGGTTTCAACCATTTTCAATAATTATTTATTACTTAACAGCAATCAGAACAAACAACATATAATGAAGTATTTTGTTCAAGTGAAAAAAAAATTAATAAATAGAAGCTATTCTAAAACTTTATAATACAATTTTTCAAACCAGTCTTTTTCGTTTTTTGCAAATTCAATTTCTTCAGTAATAGGTTTTGAATGAAAGTCACTTTCAAATAAGAACAAAATATATGTATGTTTAAATACAATGTTTTGTGCACGATTTGGGGCGCATAGATCAACCGATTTGAATGATTCAAAATCTTTCACATTCAATTTCCATTGATGGCAAGAGGTGCTGATTATTTTTTAGCAAAGAGTAGGACAAAAAATGGTAATTCAAAAGACATTAGATTGATTCAAAAGACATTGGATTTGTATTGACAACTAGAGGTGTTGATTACATTTTTACAAAGGCAGGTCCAGCGGTTTCGGAGATGCTATTAGGTGGTCGAAAATGATCATTACAAATCATTATGTTATTGATTTATATACAGATTAAATTATTGGTATATAGGTAGACAGACAGGTAGGCAGTAAACAAGTAGAAGTGAAAAAGTCTAGAGAATATTATTAATGTTGAAAAAGAAGTAGCATATTATGAAATTCAGAAAGCTATTTTAATAGACTAAAACTTTTAAATATTTACAGTTATTTCATAATAATATAATTCAGTAATTAACTTAATAACAACTTTTGGTTGCCAAATTTGTATTTTATGACTGAATTTGCACACTAATTTATAGAGTAGATATTTGAATATTCATATTGAATGATTTAGTCGTATAGTTTCTAAATTCAGATCATTATCTGCACATCAAAAAAAAATCATAATACCTATTATATATTGTTAAAATATTTATATAAAATAAATATATTTTATTTTATATAGGAAATTATATTTAATAATGTTACTGATTATTTAGGATTATATGGGAAGTTATAGAAATAGCAAAAAAATCTAAAATGAAATTTTTTATATATTTTTACGTTTCAGAGGTTTCTGAAGAAAAAGAAAGCAAAGGATACTCGAAATGGGGTGACAAAGCAAACGTAAAGGAGTTTGGCAATATTTGGAGGCAAACCAATTTTCACTGTTCCCGCGTCCTGTGTACAACAGGATCCCTAACTTCAAGGAAGCCTTTAATGCTGCGCAGAAATTACCTTATTTAGACGTTCTCAAAAAGGCTAAGAACGTTTTAGACAACCCAATGGAGCTCTTGGAATGTGTCAGAATACTGGCTTTAGAGCAAGGTAAAAAATTAGTAGTCCTTGCTCCACGATCACAATTTGGTTTACTAACCAAAATTGATATGTCTGAGAACAACTCTAGGTACAACGTTCGAAAAGCAATCACTTTAGAGGATTAAGTGAAGCCACATCTGTTGATTTGAACTCCGAAATCGACATTGATTTACTGATCATTGGATCTGTTGCTGTGTCACAGAATGGTTCGCAAATTGGTATAGGTCGGGGTTACACCGATTTTGAATTTGCTATTATCCGAAATGTTATACCTTTAACTCCGAATACATTGATCGTGACGTTAGTGCATGATTGTCAAGTGAAAGACGATGTGCCAAGCACATTGTTTGAGGTTCATGACCAAAACCATAATGGTTTCAGACCGACTTCCGCGGCCAACTCACATAATGTGGAACTTGATATCAGGAAAGCGTTTAAATACTGTAAATGCCTTGAAAAGAATAAAGGAAGATGAAAAAGCGGCTGAAAAGAAGATCGTGTTAAAAGAGGTAGACTCTGAGCATGAAAGTGTGAAGAAAATAAGAGTTCTCGATAAATTTAACCAAAGAAATAGGTTCAGTAATTCGGCAAAGAATAGCGAATCAGAGCCAAATGAGGGTGATGATGATCTGAGCATAAACGCTAAGGACGTAGATTGAGAGGACATGTCTCTGAAATGGGAGACAACGACTTATCTGACGAAGATGGCCAAACCAGACGCTATAATTTGCGAAAAAATTCAAAACTGTTTGAAAGACATTATTTGGGAATCGTGTTGAATGTTATTTAGTGATGATCGGCCAGGCCGTTTCTTTGTGATTAAATATTGAAAAAAATTTGAATGAAACAAAAATAGATTTCATAGTCAGAAATAACATAACCGCTTATCGTTGAATTCACAAAAAAATTCACGAAGTTTAGAATTGAGAGATTTAGGAGTCTATGCCAAATCCTATGTATGTTCTGTGGTGTTTCGTAGGAAGCATGGACAGTTTACGTCTACACATAATGTTGAATAAAAAGTATTAAAGAAATCAATTTAATGTTTACGATAACAGATATTATAACTATGTTTTAAAAATAGCTGATTCTAACTCTTGTTGATAAAGTCGATTATTACACGTCTCGGGAAGTTTATGTCTTAAGGCAAAATACTACCTGCAATTAGTTTGTATCGTTATTAAATAATAATTAAAGGAATATAAAAAAATGCAACAAACATTTTAATGAAAGTATTTTTGTAATTTTTAAATAGGCCTTGGGACCTCTTCACTAGCCAAATTATATTATTCTAGGTGAACAGGAAGTTTTACGCATTGCGCGTGCGTGATATCGACAGGCCACGTGGTTTCCCGCCGTCAAGAAATCATTGGTTTTTCATTAATTTAAATTGTGAAAGTTTACTTTATTAGTAACTGAATTCAAACTAATAATTTAAAATGAAATATTTAACTTTATTATAACATTATTAATTTCGAAATTGAATACTACAACTACAACTACTTAGCAGACAATTCGAGCCCGATTTTGAAGTAAACAAAATAACAATCAAATCAATCGAGATTTAATTCTTCCTAAATTTTTAATATATATATATATATATATATATATATATATTAAATTTATTTAAATTAATTAATATCAGATGAATCATATATACTACTTATCTAGTAATTTGAACACGATTTGGAATTTTATTATTAAATTTAAAAGATTTATTGTTATTTATTATATTTATGTCTTTTTGTATGTGTATATATATGTTTATATATATTAAAATTTTAATTTCACTTAATTATAATTTTTCGGATGGTGATAAATAAGTTGATAAAACCAGAAACTTTTTAAACAGGCATTCATCTAGATAAAGATAAAGAAAACTAAATTTTGTTTTTAAAAGTGAATTTAATGGCCCATACGTTTCAACAGTGGCAACAGAACAACACAAGTAAATATGACCTAACAAAAACGATACAAATAAAAATTGTTAGTTAATCTTGATATAATCTTGAAATATCTAAACTTGAGTCTTGAAACAGTTAAAAATCATGAGAAGAAAATTGAAACTTGAATTTCTTGAAACCAATTTTAAAGCTTGAGATGTGTTTATATGATTTTGTATAATAACTGTTAAATAGATTAGACAATACACTATTATGAATTATATGTAATTATGAATATTTTATAGACTAAGCAATGTCAGTATCTTGTGTCTTTATGAACATTTATTCTAATTTTATTCATTAACAGAAATATTGATGAAACAGACGTGTATAGAAAATAATAATTGCATAATCAAGTTTTAAACCTTCCTAAATTTTTGATTACACACACACACTTACATATATATTTGTTAAATTTTAATATTAGAAAACATTGATTTTATCTGTTTACTAAGATTTTTATCCTCCAAAGATGTTGATTTTTTCCTCAGACATAAAGCTTCTAGAAAACCCAATTAGCCACGACAATTGACATTAATTCATGTTTATGAAATATAAGAGATTATTTTGACTATACTTTTGACTTAAAAATTTTTGCAAGCATTTTGATTTTTGGTGTTAAGACAAAATTCTGTTTAAAGTTAATACAATGAATTGGATTCATAACTTCAAAAAAGAGCATTTTACATATATAAATTTGTTTGTACTAAAGTTTGAGCGTTTTATACTTAGTAATATCTATCGGAAAATTTTCTTGAAATACAAGTTCAAAATGTATTTATGTTAAAATAAATAATCATTTATAAGTTGTTGATTTAAAAAATAGCGCACGGCTGAATTTTCTAAATTTTAATTAAATTTCATAATTAAACCACTTTTCATAGGCTTATAAAATTTTAAATTGTGTTGTTTGACTATCAACTCTATCGCTATGCAAAATTTTATCCAAAATCCCAGAAGAGTAAACTTGGGGTTCCCCTTGTTAGTAAATTGTAATTGTACATACTATTTTCAATTTACATGTGCCAACAAAGTATAAATAGTAAATAGAATTATCAAAAGTGAAATAAATCATAAAGTTATTGCGGTTAATTACACGTGCAGCTACTAATTTTATTTATTTATTCACGCTCGTGTTAGGCAAAAAATTATTCGAGTAAACATGCAATAATAACAAATAACAATGAATTAACGAAATACAAAAATCATACTTTTTGTTAGATTACAACCTGCATCTACAGAAAAGTCAGTGATTTTGAGGATAAATATCAAATATGGAATTATAGATCTAGAAGGTTACCCAGTAGTTAGACTTTTTGGTTTTAATAAAAATAGGCATAAGTAATAATATAATACTCACTGCTTCAGTCGACATGTCACTAAAATTACTGTCAAATTCAACCAACACTTAAATTTAAAAATATTCAATTTCAGATCACTTCAAAATAATATTTATAAACGAACTTGTCTTTACCACTAGACACTATTTGGTGTGATTCACAATTGCATCAAGTAATGTATTATAAAGATTTGGTAATCTGGTTGATATGAAATCACATGAATACAACAAAATTGATTGATCACAAAACTGTAGATGTTGTTCGTTCGGAAACTGACACAACACTGAAGATCAACGTGAGAAACCAAAAGTGTTGGTCGCTGATTTAACTCTTTCCGCGAAGAGGGGCTTATGACGTATACAGGTGAGGCGGACGTCTTTGCCTACAGGTGAAACAGAGGTATCCCTTCAACTTTATTAATGTATATATATATATATATATATATATAAAAATTTCCTTATTAAACATTAAACTTATTGTCAAATAGGTGTTACTGGCATTCTGAAATTAAGCAAGTTGCATCAACTTTACGATATGTGACCATCAAGCTGACCAACAAGAATTTCAACACTACTAATTACAAATTAGTTACCCATAAAACAGAATTTGTAGCAAAATTTTTCAACACGTTGAAGACCGCGTGCCCACCGGTGAGCACATGATATGAGTTACCTGAACCACTTATTTTCTGAAAACTAAAAAAAATGATTTTTGAAAATTCTGAAATTGAATTTTTTTAAAAAAATTCTACTATTTTTTTAAAAACTACTATTTTTTGTTTTAGAGACAAAATATCAAAGCGCCGCGTCGCAGTCTAATGGATAAACATTGATACAGAACCCATAGATATGTAAACCAATTTTGTACTTATTGTTGGAATATCTATAAAATATCTGTTTATTTGATGTGCATATGTCTAAAGATAGTTTTTTACGGCCAAATATATATTTTTTTAGCTTTTTATTGGATCTCCGAAATCTCTCGACCTACCTTTCCAAAAATTTAATCGCTCTGTCAATAAAATGAAATGTTTTTTGAATCATTCAAATCGATCGCTCTGTTCTCTCAAAAACTTGATTACCATTTTTAGCACTTTTTGTCCTGCATTTTTAAAATGCCTGGACTGTCTGCCAAAAACTAATCGCACGTTTCCCCATTAATTGATCTATGATTTACTAAATTTATTGTTTTATTTACTGTATCATCTATTTGAATTATGATCTATCTGTTATGAAGATATTTAATAAATGTTTACTATTTTTGATAAATTGGTTTTATATTAGAAGACATTTCCCAGTTGTGACATTATGTTTCAATATACTTGAATAGTGTTTTTAAATTTTCATTATTATGAAGCGATACCACTGAAAGACTAATTTGACTTCATATTTGACAGTTATTTTTTGTGGTGGAAAAGAGTTTTTTTTTCTGGTGAGAAAAGGAACTTTGCCCTAGGAAAGTGTATGTATATATATATATATATATATATATATATATTAGGGTGGTCCTTAAAATGGTCATTTTCGAATTTCCTTGCTCCCAGGGGCTCAAATGATTCCAAATAGATAAAAAACAATTCTCTGAAAGTTTTAGCTCTTAATATTAACGTTTAGATAGAGCGCAATTCAATCAAAGTTTTGTATGGAAATAGCATGGAAAATTTTTCAAAAATTTAAAAAATGTTTTTTAGATGTAAATTAGCGAACAAATGAATGAATAAAACTCATTTATTTGTCGCTAAATTATACCTAAAGAATTTTTTTTTTATTTTCAAAATTTTTTACATGCTCTTTCCATACGAAGTTTGATTGAATTGCGCTCTAACTAATCGTTAATATTAAGAGCTAAAACTGTTAGAGGATTATTTTTTATCTATTTGGAACCATTTGAGCCCCTGGGAGCAAGGAAATTCGAAAATGAACATTTTAAGGGCCACCCTAATATATATATATATATATATATATATATATATATATATATATATATTAAGGCGAGTCGATTTGTATGGGTAAAAAAAGTCGCATAGGCACATATGAATTTCGTATACTAATGATCAAAATAAGATATTTTGCCAAAGAAACCATATCTCTAAAATGAATTCTGATGTCCCGTGCATTCACCCAAAGATTGGGTAAAATTTTAAAAAATCCTGTATTGGCTCATTTAGAGCGCCCCAATAATGTCCAAATGTATGACCGACCCCCAGTAACTTTGGAAAGCCGATCTACCCATGCCCATGGTTCACGCCCTGGGACCTCCCTTTAGAGGTCCTCCATACAAAAGTTGAATCATTTTGGGTACTTCAACATGACAAAAATCTGCGATTTATTTTTATTATAAAATTTATTTAATCATAACATATGTAAATAAAACTAAGTAAAACTCAAACTATTGTTTGACGTTTTTTTAGTTTCAAGTCTGGAAAGTTTTGCACGGCTCTCTAATATCGTCGCCGTAACAGCCTCTTGCTAGCATAGAAACGCAGAGACAAAATGCATTGGAAAAATTTCAACAAAGAATTTTAATATTTTTTTCCGAAAAAAATGTTTTTTTTTGTGTGTGTGAATTAATATCTGAAACATTTTTTGCTGAGTAAAATATCAAAAACTTTGTATGGGAGCAATATTTGTATGGGTGGATTGGCCTTCCAAAGTTAAATGGGGCTTGTTATACATTTGGACTCGATTGGATCATTCTAAATAGGTTAAAAGGGAATTTTTCAAAATTCCAACCTTATCTTTGGGTCAATGCACGGGACATCAAAATTCATTTTAGAAGTATTGTTTCTTCAGCAAAGTATCTTATTTTGATCCCTAGTATCCAAAAATCATATGTGCCTAAGCGACTTTTAAATCGACCCGCCCTAATACATATATATATATATATATATATATATATATATATATATATATATATATATGAACTATCTAGCTATAGCATACTGCTATTGATATTATTGCAGATATCTACCTTCTTGAAAATTGTTGCTTGATTTACTTGTTGTTAATTAGTGCTTATCGTTGTTTTAAAAATAGTTGTTTTTAATACTATATATGGTGTGAAAATATGTTTTAAAAAAATCACATTAAATCATTTTTATGTAAATAATCTTTTGTGTAATTTACCGTTTGCACTTATAGTTGTTTTCAATATTATATATAATTACTTAATATTGTATATGCCTTGCAATATTTTTAAAAAATCGCAACAAATCATTTTTATGTAAATAAACTTTGCTATAATTTACAATTTGTACTTATCGATTATGATTCAGATCATTATTAGGATACAAACCCCTAAATTAAACAATAAATTCATACAAATCATACCATTCACTGATAATGAGAACACTTTGGTTTGACGAAATGTTCCATAAATATATTATAAACTTTATAATTTTAATACTTTCGAATTTTTTATCAATCACAACATTCCGGAACAGACGAAGGGCCATCGCAAATAAAATAATAAAACTTGGAAATAAAAAAAAAGAATAACAAAATTATGTTTCGTCTGGGTTTTATCCAACTTCTGTTCTTGAAAACTGTATGAACTTTCCGAATCATTTCCGAGGCCAATAAGTACGACAGCGCTATTCTTAAAATTAATTTATCTCAACGTACAAAGAAATGTAATGTAATAAAATATTTATTTACACGATTTACACTGAGGAGCAAACTGTATGTAGCATAGGTCTGTACGGATCAGAGACATGGGCATATCTGGAGAGTTTCGTCTCCAGCTTCCACAACTTGTGGTGCTGGAGAGACGAATGGAGAAGATAGACAACAAAAGCAAAAGGGGAGTTGAAGAATTAAGAACTTTACTGAGCACGATCATGAAAAGAAAAGGAAACTGGATCAGACTCATCGTAGAAAGAGTGAACTACTAGGGCGAATGAAGATGATTTACTACTTATATTTAGATATTTACAAAATATATTTAAATATTTACAAAATATTTTCACAAAAGCAACTTGGAATTACCAATGGCTCCAATGCTCAAATGCAACGTGTGAATTAAGAGTTTGTAAGGAATTATTTTGGAAGCTGTCAATAGATTTTTTAAGTATAGGTGGATAAAGCTATGGTCCAAGGTAAGGTTAAGTAAAGCTCACATGTTCAAAATTAAATGTATTAAGTGTAATAGAATTTAAAAACTTTATTAAGTAGAGCCTGATAATTTCTGCAAAGCAAGGAGATATCATTTCTTTTGTTAATACTATTTTTATCAATAGTAATGAAACAGGATTTAGCAAATTGTCTTCAAAAAATATTTTGTTCGTGATGGCATTATGAAATGTTGAAGAAATGTTATGGAAGTCTAGTAACGCACAAAAACAAAGAAAATACAATTATATTTTTTATTTTTTCTTAATTAACAGCGAATAATTTGATAATAGAAAATATAACGTTTTTCTTGCAAAACAAAAACAAGCAGTTAGGTAAGTTAATAAAATCGCAGACGATTTTTTTTTGTATCATTACGTTCCAAGGTCTTCTATCAATTTAGTATAACTTGGAAAAAATTTATTAATGTGTATGTGTGTTTGAAATATGTGATGTATAATCATCGAATATGTAATATGAAGATCGAATTTGTACTGACCATTAGTTTTTCGAAAAAGCAGGTCCAGTTCTACCGAAGACGCAGGAAATTACCGGTAAATGGCAATAGATAATAAATTGTGGATTTTTTTATAAAAAATATAAAAACTAGTGGTGTATGGCATCGTGCCTTAAGGCAAATTGCTGGATCTTCCCGATTTTTTGTTGAAAAAATATTTTTTAAAAAAGATTAGAAATTGTTAGAAAAAATTAGTTTCTTGAGCCACAATGTTCAGCAACCTCTAAAACGTAAAGAAATAAAAATTTCCATTTTCGATTTTTTTGCGATTATACTATAACTTACCCTACGGGAAGTTAAAAATTAATATATTCAAATATTTTATAAATGCGTTTACAGTTGTTTGTTTGTCCAATATTTGCTATGGAAATACCAGAAATTCACCTTATTGTTAGTATCAACAAAACTAGTTTCTTACAAAATTCATCTGAATAAAGTTTAACTCTGATGTGAGACATGTTGATGTTGCAAAACTCGAATGCTGCACTGTTTGACTCACAACTCTAATAATTACGTTTCGATTTGCACGTCAGACAG